CACTGAGTCTGTCCCTTGAGTGTGTTGCTTATGGATGTGTAGAGTTGTAATCTGGTCTCGTCTCACACTGACCACTGGGTACACTGGCTCTTGGGTCCCCAGGGAGGTGCAAAGTCAGCCACTGCCTGGGGCCTCCCAGTAGGAGCTACAGAGAGATCTGCAGATTCCTCCTCTTTGTATTGGGTTTGGAAGTGCCCAGACAAGGCCCAGCTGTGAAGCAAGGCAGGCTGATGCTGCCGGCCTTGGGCCTTCTTTTAATAGCTTTGGGGCTCCCTGATCCTGCTGCTGCCTGTTGGACAGGTTTTAGGCTGATAAAGGACAGGCCATTCATATGCAAAAGCCACTGTGCACAGCTTGGGTGGGGTTGTAAATTGGGTGGGGCAGGGTCTCAGGGAATCACCAGGGCGGAGCAAATGGCTGCCAGTCAGCCCTGCACCGGAGAGGTCCCAGCGCAGGAACAATGACTGCTGTGAGCACCTCCATCTGTAAGAAAGCCGCCCTCGCATTCCTGCCCTGATGCAAGACAGTCCAGTTTCTCCCCATATGTGTCTGGGTCCCCCAGAGTCTCACCCAGAACAAGAGTTCAGAGCAAGCGGGAGCTTCTATCTCTCTCCTGATTAAAAAAGCAATGCACCCGGGTGCCTGCCCATTCCACACCTCTGCACCTCCTACCAGTCTCAATGCGCTTTCTTCTTTACCTCTCTAGTTGTAGTACTTCCACTCAGCCAGCCTTCCCGTGGTTCTGGATGATAGTTGTTCCGTCTTTTAGTTGTAATTTTGATGTGATTGTGAGAGGCAGCAAGTACAGGTGTTTACCTGTGCTGCCATCTTGGTTCTCCTATTTTTGATTCTTGCTAAATAATAACCAGGCCCTCCTCCAGTGCCACTGACAGGAGGAGGAGAGTGGGCAGAGGGGGAAGAAAGGTGATCTAGGAGCTCAGCCCTTGGCCCAGAGCCTGGGGACTGTGGTCCTGACGTGGGGCTCTTACATTCCGATGAGGGTCAGATCACTTAGCCGTGGACCCTGCATCTTCCTTTGCCCTTAGGGGCTAATTCCTCATCTTCTGCCCGAACTGCTTAAATGCCACCTCCAGGAAGCCTTCTCTAACCTCTGCCCACCCCAAGCTGGGTTGGGAGGTGCTCAAGTCCCCAGCAGATGGCCACGTGACAGCACAGGCTGCACCTCACCTCCCTCCCCACATCACCACCACCACCACCACCACCACCACCACCGTCTCCTCTGCTGGGCTGTGAGGACAGGCCTGGCCACCTTACTTTTCACCTGCTCCCAGGCCAGGGCCTGGTGCAGCGCAGGTGCTCAGTAAATATCTGTGGAGGAGAGAGAGAAATAAGGGTGCACATTCTAGGGAGGGAAGTATCAGGGTGACCACGGCAGATGGGACCATGGGTGGGTTTCTGTGTTTATGCCTCAGGAGAGCAGTGGGCATGTTGATTATTTTGGGCAAAACCCAGTACCGGGAGGGGAGCCTCGCTGCTGCAAGACCTCTGCTGACCCCACGCCGGCCTCTCTTCCAGTGCCCCAGGGTCAACGGGGTCCAGGCGCACACCAGCAAGCACAACCGGAGGCAGGTGGTCTTGGACCTGCAGATCTGGTGAGCCTCTTGCCTGGGGGCAGGGGTGGGTCCGGGGCACATTCTGTGGGAACAGCAGTGTGAAGATGGGGTAGCATATAGACACTCTCATTTGCCCCTCAGAGCAGATATACCCCCAACTGCCCTGGGCTGGAGCCGGGGATGGGGAAGAGTTTCAGCAGAAGGGATGGTCCGGGGGAGCCACCACCATCTGACCCCTCAGCCCAGGCCCGGCTTCTCCATCAGACCAGGCACTAGGCATGTTCTGGGTACCAAGGCCCAGGAGCTGAGCTTTCCTAGAGGCGAGGGCCAGGTCTGACCTCAAGGGTCAGAGCAGCTGCCTCAGAGAGGATGTAGCAAGAGGGAGCACAGGTGACAAGATGCTGGGACGTGGGGTGAGTCCCAGGGTGCTCCGCACAGGCTGTGAGACGCCAGCAGGAGAGCTGGGCCCTGTGGCTCCTCGGAAAACAAAAGGATGCAAAGACACACGAGCGACTAGCTGAGTGGGTGGGGCAAGGGCACCGTGTTTGAATGAGGTTTGTAATAGGCTTGAGTTGGTGAGAAGGGAGATTGAATCCAGGAAGTCTTCCCGGAGGTGGTGAGATTGAAATTGTGTTTTAAAAGAACCAGGATCAACTCCTGAGGTTCCAGAATGTAGCCGTTCCTTTTCAGTGTCCTTATCCCAGAGGCTGCACTGAGGGCACATTGGGAAGACAGGGTCAGCTCTGGGAATGCCCTTCCCCAGTGGGGGGCTGTTCTCAAGTGTGTTGGGATGGTGACAGCTTTGGGGTCTGGCCCCAGGCACTGCTACAGAGCCTGGTGTGCACAGTTAGGGCCTGTCAGGGTCATCGGGCTTCCCCACCCAGCTTCCTGGGCAGCTCCCGGAGTCCCCAGGCCTTACCCCGACCTTCCAGGGGATACTAGCTCCCCTGCCTGTGCCCTGCAGATATTTGATGGCCACCGCCTCGCTCCCCTTAGTCACGAGTCCTTTCACAGTGTCTCCGGACCCTTAGCCTCTGAGGCACTCATTCTGAGCTCCCTGTGCCCATCACTTGGCAGGAGCCACCAGCAGGACTCGGCTCCTGAGGACATTGTGTTTTCCCTCTACCACCCCCGGCAACCGCCTGGGTGATGGCTGGATGTAGGCAGTGTGGCTGCTCTGTCTATGGGGAAGAGACCTGGGAAGGGGGGCGGAGCATAGCCGAGGCAGAGGGCTGGGCCCTGTGTTCGCCAAGAGCCCCTCCTTCACATCCATGGGGTCGTGGGACAAGGTGATACTCAGTCATGGTCATCGCGGGCACAGGTGGGGATGTGCATGGGACTCCTGGGTGCAGGGGCCTGGGTCAGTGTCTGTGCAGAGCCGAGAAAAGCCGGGGCGGTGAGGGTGACCCTATCTGGGTGAGGCGGGGCTCGGGCTGGGTGGCACTGGGCAAGTTTCCCACGTCTCTGAGAGTGGGCCTGCCCCTCTTCCCGACCTTCCTTCTCCCTCCCCTTTCAGCTACATCGGGGACTGCGAGATCAGCGTGGAGCTGCAGAAGATCCAGGCTGGTGTGAACGGGATCCAGGTGAGTGGGGCCGGATGGTACTGCCCCCACTCCTGTCCCTGGGGTGGGGGTGGGGGTCAGGGCAGGGAAAAACAGGCTTATACTGGAGCAGGCTGCAAAAGGGGGTGGTGACACCAAACAGGCAGGTCACGATTGAGGGATTCCGTGCCCAAGGTCACACGGCCAGGAAGTGACTGCTGGGCCCCCAACCTGCGGCTCGGCCCAGAGCCCCTCAGCCCATGCCTGTCTCTGTCTGTAAAGTCCCCCCAGAGAGACGTCCGTGGCTCAGGGAAGACAGGTTCTGTGGATGGGGTGATGCAGACCCCGTGCTTGCAAACGGGCAGATCGAGGAGGAGGCGGCGAGGAGCGGAGAATGGGGCAAGGCTGCAGGCCCTCAGCCCAGCGCCCCCCGGAAGGCAGTGGGGGCCAGCTCATGGCCCCTGGGGAGCTGGCCAAAGGTGGCAGGTTTCTGTTTCTGAGCGTGGTCCCTGCAGTGACCACACTCCCCGTAGGTGGGGGGCAGCTGCCCACGCCCGGCGAGCCAGCGGTGCGTGCCCTGGGCATTTGTGTGTGGCATGGGCATCAGTGAGACAGCAGGTGTGGGAAGAAGGGAGGCAGTCCCTCATGGAGCCCTCGGTGCCATCCAGTTGCAGGGCACGCTGCGGGTCATCCTGGACCCCCTCCTGGTGGACAAGCCCTTCGTGGGAGCCGTGACTGTGTTCTTCCTTCAGAAGCCGGTGAGCCCCCGGGAGGCAGGCCTGCCCCTCCCTGGGCAGGAGCTCGTGCCTGCCGGGCCCCAGGCGCTGGGCTTGAACCACAAACGGAGATGCCTAAGCCCGCCTAGGCCCGGGCACTCCACATGCCCGTCCCGTGAGGTCTAAGGCAGCCTGAGGTACCCGACTCCGTTCTCCCCCAGACCAGCAGCAGCTCGGGGAAGCTGTAGGGCCACTCAGGGCCCACGTGCCCTGGCCACGCCTGCGTGATCCTGGCAGGAGGCAGCAGGCCCGACAGCCTGCCCATCCCGAGCGGGCGCCCTCAGCAGGCTGGGTTCTCCATGTGGTGGGTGTGGGCGCTGGGCAGAGGGCTCTCGGTCCTGGGCTTCTGGCTCCTTCCAGACTAGCAGCCCCTCTGCCCGCAGCACCTGCAGATCAACTGGACAGGCCTGACCAACCTGCTGGACGCGCCGGGAATCAAGTGAGTGCCTTCGAGAGCCCCCCGCAGAGCCAGGGGGGCCTGGGCTGTGGTCAGTGCCGGGCGCACAGTGGTTGCCCTCCCTCCCTGCTCCCTGTGAGGAGTGGGGCAGGCACCGAGCCCCCCTCCCTCTGGGGGAAACAGGGTGTGGGAGTGGGAGGCTGACAGCATTGTTTGGCCTCTGCGGGCAGGCTCTGTGCTCAGAACACACACACACACATCACGTATGTGTCCAGGGGGGCCTGGGCTGTGGTCAGTGCCGGGCGCACAGTGGTTGCCCTCCCTCCCTGCTCCCTGTGAGGAGTGGGGCAGGCACCGAGCCCCCCTCCCTCTGGGGGAAACAGGGTGTGGGAGTGGGAGGCTGACAGCATTGTTTGGCCTCTGCGGGCAGGCTCTGTGCTCAGAACACACACACACACACCACATATGTGTACACACACACACACACATCACGTATGTGTACACACACACACATCACGTATGTGTACACACACACATCACGTATGTGTACACACACACACGTGTGGGAGAGCAGGGAGAGTGGCTCTGATCAGATGGGATGTCCTAGAGGAGGCGTGTGGACTGAGGCTCCTGGCGCTGTTGGGTAGCAACTGTGACTTTAGACAAATTACGTCACCTCTCTGGGCTCTTCCTCAGTAAAAGTGGAGCCCAGTTCCTCTATCTTGGGGTCCCTGGGAGAACACAGGTGTGTGTGGTGGTGGCCGAGTGGGTGTGGACACACATGAGTGAGGAGAAGTGTGTGGAGAGAAGCCCATGAGGCCGCCCTCACCATGGCCACAAGCACAGGCTGGGAGCGGGCGGTGCTTAAAGGGGCACCAGTGAGGAGGAGCTGGTCTGGGAAATCCCTCCTTCCTGGGGCTGGCAGGGAGGGTGCTGCACCCAGAGCCGCAGGGCTCCAGCCCTGTGTGGACACAGCACACATCACATATGTGTACACACACACATCACGTATGTGTACACACACATCACATATGTGTACACACACACATCACGTATGTGTACACACACATCACATATGTGTACACACACACATCACGTATGTGTACACACACATCACATATGTGTACACACACACATCACGTATGTGTACACACACATCACATATGTGTACACACACACATCACGTATGTGTACACACACATCACATATGTGTACACACACACATCACGTATGTGTACACACACATCACATATGTGTACACACACACATCACGTATGTGTACACACACATCACATATGTGTACACACACACATCACGTATGTGTACACACACATCACATATGTGTACACACACACATCACGTATGTGTACACACACATCACATATGTGTACACACACACATCACGTATGTGTACACACACATCACATATGTGTACACACACACATCACGTATGTGTACACACACATCACATATGTGTACACACACACATCACGTATGTGTACACACACATCACATATGTGTACACACACACATCACGTATGTGTACACACACATCACATATGTGTACACACACACATCACGTATGTGTACACACACATCACATATGTGTACACACACACATCACGTATGTGTACACACACATCACATATGTGTACACACACACATCACGTATGTGTACACACACATCACATATGTGTACACACACACATCACGTATGTGTACACACACATCACATATGTGTACACACACACATCACGTATGTGTACACACACATCACATATGTGTACACACACACATCACGTATGTGTACACACACATCACATATGTGTACACACACACATCACGTATGTGTACACACACATCACATATGTGTACACACACACATCACGTATGTGTACACACACATCACATATGTGTACACACACACATCACGTATGTGTACACACACATCACATATGTGTACACACACACATCACGTATGTGTACACACACATCACATATGTGTACACACACACATCACGTATGTGTACACACACATCACATATGTGTACACACACACATCACGTATGTGTACACACACATCACATATGTGTACACACACACATCACGTATGTGTACACACACATCACATATGTGTACACACACACATCACGTATGTGTACACACACATCACATATGTGTACACACACACATCACGTATGTGTACACACACATCACATATGTGTACACACACACATCACGTATGTGTACACACACATCACATATGTGTACACACACACATCACGTATGTGTACACACACATCACATATGTGTACACACACACATCACGTATGTGTACACACACATCACATATGTGTACACACACACATCACGTATGTGTACACACACATCACATATGTGTACACACACACATCACGTATGTGTACACACACATCACATATGTGTACACACACACATCACGTATGTGTACACACACATCACATATGTGTACACACACACATCACGTATGTGTACACACACATCACATATGTGTACACACACACATCACGTATGTGTACACACACATCACATATGTGTACACACACACATCACGTATGTGTACACACACATCACATATGTGTACACACACACATCACGTATGTGTACACACACATCACATATGTGTACACACACACATCACGTATGTGTACACACACATCACATATGTGTACACACACACATCACGTATGTGTACACACACATCACATATGTGTACACACACACATCACGTATGTGTACACACACATCACATATGTGTACACACACACATCACGTATGTGTACACACACATCACATATGTGTACACACACACATCACGTATGTGTACACACACATCACATATGTGTACACACACACATCACGTATGTGTACACACACACAGTGTGGGAGAGCAGGGAGAGTGGCTCTGATCAGATGGGATGTCCTAGAGGAGGCGTGTGGACTGAGGCTCCTGGCGCTGTTGGGTAGCAACTGTGACTTTAGACAAATTACGTCACCTCTCTGGGCTCTTCCTCAGTAAAAGTGGAGCCCAGTTCCTCTATCTTGGGGTCCCTGGGAGAACACAGGTGTGTGTGGTGGTGGCCGAGTGGGTGTGGACACACATGAGTGAGGAGAAGTGTGTGGAGAGAAGCCCATGAGGCCGCCCCCACCATGGCCACAAGCACAGGCTGGGAGCGGGCGGTGCTTAAAGGGGCACCAGTGAGGAGGAGCTGGTCTGGGAAATCCCTCCTTCCTGGGGCTGGCAGGGAGGGTGCTGCACCCAGAGCCGCAGGGCTCCAGCCCTGTGTGGACACAGCCCCTGCAGGGAGGGCCAGCTGGGCCGGCCAGGGCATGCACCGCTGGCTCGCCAGGCGTGGGCAGCTGCCCCCCACCTGCGGGGAGGAATCCTCTTCTAGGGACTGTCCCTGCTCCCTCTCTGGGGGATGGAGTCAGCCAGCAGAGGAAGAGAATGTGGATGTGATGTCAGGGACCAGAGGGCTAAGGTAGCCACCACTCACCCAGCATTTACTGGGCACCAGGCACTGTCCTCAGCCCTTCACACATGTAAGTCATCCTCGTAAAATGCTAAGGGGCAGGTGTAATTATCCTCGGGTCAGGGATGAGGAAACTCAGGCCCAGAGCGGTTAGCAGGTTCCCCACGGTCACACGCCCCTGTGATGCTAACACGGCGTCGGGTCGGCACTCTTAGCTACCATGCTGGGGCGGCAGGCCGGGCTCAGGCTGCACACTCCCGGGCAGGGCCCACCCTGGCGCTCTGCTCCTGTGCCAGCTCCGGGGATGGGTGGAGGGACAGGCGGCCTGGGGGAGGCAGTGCCACCTCTCACAGCTGGTCGTGCCCACTGTCCCAGTGAGATGTCAGACAGCCTGCTGGAGGACCTCATCGCCGCCCACCTGGTGCTGCCCAACCGCGTGACTGTGCCCGTGAAGAAGGGCTTGGATGTGACCAACCTGCGCTTCCCTCTGCCCTGCGTGAGTACCTGCACCAGCCAGGGCCCAGGGCCCAGAGCTGGGGATAGATGGCTGGAGGGGAATGCATTCTCACGGGGGTGGGGGGCGAGTGGCACCTCCAGGTTATAGGGCGAAGACTGAGTCTCGGGATTGACTTGTCCAGTCACCCATCCAGGGTCGGGCGAAGCCCAGGCGGCTTCCTTCCCGGATCCTGGTACCGTGCGGCCCGGGTTGGGGACTGGGCAGTCAGCCCGGCCCCAGGAGCCTCCAGGAGCTCCCAGCCTCCTTCAGGGACATGAGGCTCCGACTCCATCCTTGGGGTCTACTGGGAAGGAGAATGGCGGAGCCAAGCGGGGGCTTCCTTGGGTGCTCAGCCCCACTGCCCCCTCTATCCTGGGCCCAGCTAGGGAGGCCCCTGAGGACAGCCGTGGGGCTCCCGACAGAAGGGGCCCTGGCTGCGGCCCTGAGCCCTCAGGGCTGGGAGCTGGGGCCCCAGGAAAGGGGAAAGTGCCACTTCACCATCAGCTCCAGGCGGGGTATCAGCCTCCTCAGGCCATGAGGGTGAGGGACCGGCTCCTGTCGGCCTTCCCACGGGGAGTGTGGCTCCATCCCACCAGGTGAGGCTCAGACTGACAATGCGACGCCACCACCTGCGCCACAGCCACTCACACTCCTCGGGTGTCCCACGCCAGCGGTGCTGTCAAGCGGCCGCGACTTAGACTCACCGGGAACCGTGCCTCTGTGTGTGTGGGACACCAGCTGCCCACGAATGTTTATATTGATTTGTTTCACTCCATTTGCTATTTTTAGGGTTTAATTTTTACCTTAACTTTACAATCATATAAAAACGTGTGCATGCTTCCAACGTGCAATATAAAGACCAAGTTATAGTTTAAGGAGTCGGGCTTCTAGCCCTTGTCCCTCCACCTATTCTGCCCCTTCTCCCTGAAAGCAGTGATCCCCCTCTCCCCCCGATTTCTCACTGTTTGTTTTCTAAGAGGCAGATACGCCCCCGTGTTGGTGTGTGCGTATCTGTCCTCAGGTCCCCCGTTCCTCGGCGGACGGCCGCATAGCACTTCCCCTGTCTTGCTGCGTCAGGCCGTGTCCTGGGATCTCTCCCTGACTGCGTGGATGGAGCCCTCATTCTGGGGCCACCGGTTGCTCCACGTCCGGGCGTGCGGCACCTATTTCACCGGTTCTCCACTGACACACAGTTGCGTCATGTGTTTTGCTGGGACAAACAGGCTGTCAGGACCTTCTTACAGTACGGCTTTAGGGCTAGAAAGTGGGATGGCTGGGTCCAAGGGAAAAGACATACGTACTTATATTTAAAAAGAAATAGTTCCAGGCAGGAAGGCTACTCTTCCCAGGCCTTGGCTCTGTTCTGCCTTAAGACATGGTTCGGGGAGGGGGGTCGGGTGAGACAGGGCTGGGCTTCTAGGAGGCAGGGACCCACTGCCAGCAGCAAGCAGTGCCCACGGGCTGTATACACCTGGGCACTGGGCAGAAATGACACTGGAGGTCAGTCTGCTTGCCGGTTACAGACAGGAAACCTCAGGGGCTTGGTTTGCCCTGGTTGTTGGCAGAGCTGAAATGGCTGCCGTGGAAGCCATTCCCAGGGCAGAGTGGGAAGGCCAGGAGTGTGGGCGTGGCACTGAGGTGCAGTGGACAGAGCTCTGGGCCCTGCCATCACGTGCTGCATGGCCTTGGCCAGGAGGCTGCCGTCTCCCCATCCAGACCCAGGAGAGGGTGGGGTGGGCTGGGTGGTGTCTGAGGCTTTGGCCTGATAGTGTGGGCCTCGAGGGCTGGTACTGCCCAGGAAGCAGCGGTGATCCCTGCGCTGGGCATTTCCAGGGGGTGATCAGAGTCCACTTGCTGGAGGCGGAGAAGCTGGCCCAGATGGACCACTTCCTGGGGATCCGAGGCAAGTCAGACCCCTACGCCAAGGTGAGCATCGGCCTGCAGCACTTCCGCAGCAAGACCGTCTACAAGAACCTGAACCCCACCTGGAACGAGGTGTTTGAGGTGAGGGGCTCCTCGGCCACAACTGGCTCCACTCTGGGTCGTGCTGGGGACAGGCGGCCCCTTGCCCTCATGGGCCTCACCTGCCTGTGGGGCAACACTGGCCAAAGGAGTGGGCCTTGGGGGCGGGCAGGATGGGCTGCGTATCCCTCTTCCCAAACCCCCCGTGCTCCCAGAGGTGGGCTGCGGTGGCCCCGGAGGGACAGCTTATAGATACGCTTCCTGTCCGTCCCCCCCCCGCCCCGTCAGCTGTGTTGGAGGCTTTCAAATCAAAGAGAAAACCTCAAGGCAGTCCTGCCCCTTCCTCTCAGCCAGAGCCAGACACCAGGGGCTGAAGTTCTCCCTTGAGCTTAACCACACCCCCTACTCCCTGAAGGAGGCCCCACGGCCTGTGAAGTGCCCTGGAGGCTGCAAAGCCTGCCAAGCACACCTGCAGCTGCTGTGCCCTGTGCACCCCCATGGGTTGCAGTCGCCTCTCCTCTCCCCACCTGCCCCCACCTACTGGGGAGGGCCTCTCACAGGAGGGCTTCCCGGGCACTGAGAAGGCCGGCGCCTGCCCGGGCTCCAGCTGGCAGCTGTGGAGCTGAACCTGGCTCCCAGGGGTCACGGGTGAGTCTGCTTCACCCGCTGCCGTGGCCTGCGGGTCGCGTCCCCTCTTTCCTTCCAGTTCTTAGTGTACGAAGTCCCTGGCCAGGACCTGGAGGTGGACCTGTATGACGAGGATCCTGACAGGGACGACTTCCTGGGCAGGTGAGGGCTGAGCTGGGCCTGGGCGCTGGGCCGTCCACACCCCCCTCCTCCATGCCTCCCGAGTGTCCCACCCTGGACTCTGGGCCCAAGGGATAGAGAGGACCCACGGTTTATGTGCCGCAGGCCCGCTTTCTGATCTCTTAATAATGTACCCAGGGTCCCCATTGGGGCAGGGGCAGGGGCAAAGCTGACACGGATGGCAGGTCCCCAGTGTCGGGGAAACCTGGCTACTCACTCAGGGGGCAGCACACAGAAACTCAGGGTGTGTGAAGACTGCCACGGCCAGGCTGGGGCTGCCTATCCCAACTGCCCGCTTCCAGGTCCTATGAAAGCATTGACCGGAAGTGTTTATTGGAGAACTGAGGTGGCAAAGCAAGAGCCTGACACAGTGTGTCCAGCCTCAGAGGACACTGGCTGAGTGTTTGAGTAAATTTGCCGTCGCCAAACTAGAGGACATTCTGCAGCTTTAAACACTAAGCAGGATCTGCGTATGGACCTGGAGGACGTCCGTTATGTAGTTGGCAGAGGGGCAGGTGGGAGTGACCCTGCAGTTCGATTCACCTTCCCAGGGGGACCCTTGTGTGTGTGTGCGTTCGTACATGTTCATGTACACAGCAGGCTGCTCACACTGCTCGTCTCCGAGGGCTGGGACTGGGAGGCTGAAACGAATTTTACACAAAGCTTCATACTCCCGTGTTGTTTAGCCTGTTCCCGTGAACACAGAATTTTAGAAAGAATGAACAAAACGAAGTGGGAGGGGCACAACCTGATAGCCTAAGAACCAGCGCGCAAGCAAATGTTGCTCATGTACACAGCAGGCTGCTCACACTGCTCGTCTCCGAGGGCTGGGACTGGGAGGCTGAAACGAATTTTACACAAAGCTTCATACTCCCGTGTTGTTTAGCCTGTTCCCGTGAACACAGAATTTTAGAAAGAATGAACAAAACGAAGTGGGAGGGGCACAACCTGACAGCCTAAGAACCAGCGCGCAAGCAAATGTTGATCTTTTTTTCTCATCTTAGTAATTTTCATAATATTGCAGGTTTGAAGTGTGGCTTGTGATTCATATTTTGTGTAACTGATTTCAAGTGTGTTTGGAGCTCAAACACACTTCTAACAGTTACATGCAATTAATTTCCCCCCTGGCTTGAGTCAGGGTAGGTGGGAGGCACGCTGAGAATGTGGGTGTCACCTCTTTGCACACACATGCCAACTGATCCTGTGGAAGGCATTGGGGGCAGTTCTGGAAATGGAGGCATTTGGGGTTGTTACAATGACTGCGGGAAGTGGAGCCATGGCATTTACCTAGAGGGCACGGGACAGGGAAACTGAATTCCTGCAACGCATGGGCAGTTTTGCACAATGAAAAGCCATTCCACTCGAATGCCAGTAGCACCATCACTGATAATTCAGAGCCGATGTGTCCAGCATTACCTGCTTATTCCCCTCTGGGGTGGAAGCCACCTGCCTCTGGGGCAGCATGCCCAGAGCAGCCCTGATGGCTAAGACAGTCCTTCCTCCTCGAGCTGAGCGTGGCTTCCCACTGCTTCCCTGGCATGAATAAGATCCTGGGTCTTGAGGGCCCGCTCAGGTATTTGAACCTAAATCAGGGTGGGCCGCCACACCGTCCGCTGCTGCCTCCTGGGTGCAGAGCTGACCCCTCCCTGTGTATTCCAGCCTGCAGATCTGCCTTGGGGATGTCATGACCAACAGAGTGGTGGATGAGGTAGAGTTGTGCGTGCGGCCCTCCCTGTGGACAGCCCTTGCAGGTTGCTTCAGCCCAGCTGGTCTATGAAATGGGCCCCTCCCATGCTGAGCCACACATACTGGTCCTCCAGGGGCAAGTGCTGGGCGACACACAGATGGGTCCCGGGAACCTCCAAGGCTTGGGTGGGAAGAAGCTTCCCTGGAATGCCCCGACCAAGGACCTCCAGCGGGGGATGGTCACACTGCAGGGCTGGGCCTGCGCAGGAGGGTTTTTCCATCCCAAATGTAGCACTTCCTCCTAACCCACATGTCCCAGTCCCTCAGCCCAGAGTCTGCGCTGCTTCCCCTTTTCCCTGAGCCTCTATTGGGGCCCCACCGGGTCCCAGAACTGAGCTGCCTGTGGAGGGTCAGTAGCACCTCCCTGTCCCTGTCCCCAAGCTTTCCTTTCCCTCATCTCCCCGCAGTGGTTTGTCCTGAATGACACAACCAGTGGGCGGCTGCACCTGCGGCTGGAGTGGCTTTCACTGATCGCTGACCCTGAGGCTCTGACTGAGGTGAGTGCAAGGTGTTGGGGCTCCCTAGCAGAAAGCAGGGCTGGTCACGTGTGGGCTGAGCCCCCAGACCTTGCTTAATCTTCGGGCCAGCCCCACCTTTTAGAGAACCTGCCCCTCAGCCCTGTCTCCACACAGGGCAGCTCCTGGTCTCTCTCTCTCTCTCTCTCCTAAGCATCTCAGTCTCCTTCAGGGAAGCTGGGATCCTTAAATGCTGCTGGTGCCTGTCAGCCTAGACCAGTGGTCGGCAAACTGCGGCTCGTGAGCCACATGCGGCTCTTTGGCCCCTTGAGTGTGGCTCTTCCACAAAATACTGACTTCTGCGCATGGGCTACGAAGTTTCAATTGCATTGTACATGTGCGCCCGCACGACAGTGGTCGGCAAACTGCGGCTCGTGAGCCACATGCGGCTCTTTGGCCCCTTGAGTGTGGCTCTTCCACAAAATACCACGTGCGGGCGCGTATACAGTGCGATTGAAACTTCATGGCCCATGCGCAGAAGTTGGTTTTCAGCCTGGGCGAGTCTACTTTGAAGAAGTACTGTTGATATTTGGCTCTGTTGACTAATGAGTTTGCCAACCACTGGCCTAGACCACAGGGAAAATCCACCGTGTCTGACTTGCACCTGTCGTGCTGCAGTTGGGTCTCAGCGCTGACAGAAAAGCTAGGCTGAGGGATCTTCTCACCAGCCTGGAGGGCAGGGGCTGGCTTCCCTCCGTGGGGGACCTAACGAGGTCTGTGTCTGCTTGCAGGACCACGCTGGCCTTTCCACTGCCATCCTTGTGGTCTTCTTGGACAGCGCCTGCAACCTGCCGGTGAGTGGTGACATGGTCAGTGTCACAACACCCCGCCTGCCTTGTGCCCCCCCTTTCTAATGCTCACTTGAAACGGAAATGTCTTCTTGTGCTGCAGAGAAACCCTTTTGACTACCTGAATGGTGAATATCGAGCCAAAAAACTCTCCAGATTTGCCAAGGTGAGAGTGTGTGTGCGGCTGAAAACCTGAGAGCAAGTCAGAACTCCTTTTCCCCAGAGTAACCCCAGCCCCATGTTTTCCGGGAGAGTCTGCGCACACAGCCTGGGTTTGGCAAGAGCTGTCCTTGTCAAATTTCCTGGTGCCAGGCACTGGGCTTGGCAACTCATCCCCCACATTCATTGTGCCCGCGAGACACGATGACCATGTCCAATTTTATTGCCATTTTACAAATAGGACCCGGAAGGTTAAGGCCTGGGTCACACACCTAAGGGAGGAGCTGGAACTTGAATCCACCCTGTGTGTCTCCATGCCAGGGAGCCAGAGCCTGTACCCAGCCAGCTCACTGTTCACGGAGGCCCCCCTGGGGTCAGCCCTGTCCAGGTGCTTGCACAGTGACGGCAGCAGCTGGCTGGCCACAAGTCCCACTGATGCTCCTGAGGGCTGGGAGGTGGGGCGAGGGTGTGCATCTTAGGCTGACACTGATGATGCCACCCTCATTGTGATTTGCCCCCTCACAGAATAAGGTGAGCAGAGACCCTTCTTCCTATGTCAAGCTATCTGTAGGCAAGAAGACATATGTGAGCAAGGTAAGACAGCTTGGTGTGTAGCCATGGGGTACGGAAATGGGGGCCCCAGCCCTTCTCAGGGAGAGAAGCAAAAGACAAGGGAATTAGCTTACACTGAATGCCAAGTAGGTGCCAGGACACATTCTAGACACTTTATATTTTATTTAGTCTCCAAAGTAACCTCACAAATAGTTTCATAGTTCACGAATCTGAGGGAGAGAGATCAGTGACTTACCCCAGGGCACATGCTAGAAAGCAGCAGAGCTGGGGTTCAAGTTTAGGCGTGACTCTAAGTCCTTTCCACCACCCGTCTCCCCGTCCAGCAGCAGAAACTCCCTCCCAAGTGAGCACTACGCTCACATGACTCTCAGCTCCTTTAAGTCTGGTTGCTCCGCCCTAATGCCTCCCACAAGCGTGTGTGGGTCTGACCATGGGCAGAGAAGGCCACCAGAGGTCCCTGGGGGCTGGAGTGAGAGCACAGGGTATCCTGCTCTGCCCAATCAGACCCTTTAATGGCCTCTCTTCCTCTGTCCCCAGACCTGTCCCCGCAGCAAGGACCCTGTGTGGAGCCAGGTGTTCTCCTTCTTTGTGTGCAATGTGGCATCTGAGCAGCTGCGTCTCAAGGTTTGCTGGCAGCTGGGCTGTTGGATCAGAGCTAAGAGGTGTCTCGGCCAGGAGGGTGGGAGCTCGAAGCGCACCTCGAGCAGGTTCCCCTGGCCAGTCAGCCCCGCCCCAAGGCCTCCCACATCTCAGGGAGGCTGGTGCCCAAGGTCACTGGGTAAAGGCTGTGGGCACACCCCTCAGGTCCCTTGGCTCTCCCTGTGAAAGCCTTTCTGGCTGTTACACAGCACCCAGAGTGGCCTGTGTTGAAATCTACTCAGGACATTTCTGATGTATTTATTTTAAAATGTTAATTTTCACAAAAGATCTGTGGAAGAGCGAATGGAGGATTAAACAATGACGTGTCTGAGACCTTGGGGATCTGGGGCCTCAGCCTGGTGTCTGGTCATGGAGCAGCAGAGCTCACCAGCCCTGAAAGCCCCAGGCCCTTTGTCTCCGACACACTTGCCTTATAGAGACCCTAACTGCCTCTACCCTGAGTCCCTCTCTTCCTGACAGAGGCAGGGAGCAGGCCTGATCCCATTCCCGGTTTTTAGAACAGGACCAGAGGCCAATAGCAGCACAGTACATGCTGACAGAAGTGAATTAGACGTGGCCGGGCCAGGCCCAGAGGGTGGTGGTGGTGGTGATTCTCATTTTGTGGCTGGCCCGCTGCTCAGGTCCTGGATGACGACCAGGAGTGTGCTCTGGGAGTGCTGGAGTTACCCCTGTGCCAGATCCTCCCCTATGCAGACCTGACCCTCGAGCAGCGCTTCCAGCTGGACCACTCGGGCCTGGACAGCCTCATCTCCATGAGGCTGGTGCTTCGGGTAACTCTCTCCCTTTCCTCGCCCCCCCCCTCCCCCGCGAGGTAGGGGGTGGAGCTCTGGTACAAGGTAGATGGCCCCAACACTTAAGTACTTGCTCTATGTTGGGAAGAAGCTAGGAGATGGATTCATATTTTCCATAGTTTTGGAATATTATCAGCCATTACCTCTTCAAATATTGCCTCTCCCATTCTTTTAATCCAGGGGTCCTCAAACTACGGCCCGCGGGCCACATGCAAATACAAATATTGTATTTGTTCCCGTTTTGTTTTTTTACTTCAAAATAAGATATGTGCAGTTTGCATAGGAATTTGTTCATAGTTTTTTTAAAAACTATAGTCTGGCCCCTCCAACGGTCCGAGGACAGTGAACTGGCCCCCTGTTTAAAAAGTTTGAGGACCCCTGTTTTAATCCTTCCAGAGCCCCTTCCATGCTGAACCTTCTCATCATCTTCATATTTTCTATTTTTTGTCTCTTGGTGCTATATTCTAATTTTTTCAGATCTATCTTCCAGTCCACTAAATCCTTCTTTGGCTATGCCTAATCTGCTCTTTAACCTGTTCATGGTCTTTATTTCAAAGGCTATTTTTCATCTCTAACTTTATTTCATCTTTAGTCATTTGAAAATACTTTTAAGGCATATTACCTGAATTCTATTACCTGAAGATCTTATGATTTGAATTTTGTTTCTGTTGATGCTTTTTCATGATGACTCATTTCTGTGTTTGGCAACTTGGGTTGAAACATGGTCAGTGTTCCTTTGTGAGCTGGATTGAGGTTGTTCACTTCCAAAGAGACACTGCTATTGCTGCAGCCAAGAACCTCAGGGGAACTACAAATATGGGTTCTTTTTTATGTTAATTTAGGTATGGATTTTTAGAGAAAGAGAGGGAAAGAGAAACATTGATTTGTTGTTCCACTTATTTATGCATTCATTGGTTGACTCTTGTATGTGCCCCGACTGGGGGTTGAACCTGCAGCCCTGGCATATTGGAACAACACTCCAACCAACTAAGCTACCCAGCCATGGCCTATGTTAATTTTTAACTTTGGGTTTCAAGACACCACAGATAGTGTAAATTCATATGAGAGAGGCCTACAGGTGCCCTATTGTTAGAAAAGACTTAATTTCCCCCCAACCAGATTCAGGCTGAGACAGACACGTGTCCTGTCATTAGGTTTTGCTGGTGGGTGGAATGTGTATCCTAGGCTACTTTTTCACTAAAGAGATCCCACCTTCATAGGTTCTACTTCAACTCCCAGTCTCACACTGACCAAGGCCTCTTTTCCTAATCCCCTGGATTCCACAGTTGATAAATGACCCTCAGAAAGCTTAACCTTTATTTTTTAGTTTTCTCCTCCCTCCCCCGCCCCCCCTTTTTTTTAAGCCCTAGGGACTTTACTTTCTTTGTGATTTTGGCTATTTAAAAGGATGTTTATTTAATTGGGGCATTCCTAACAAGATGTTTTTCAGAATATTTTAACCACCATATTGCTAGAAATGGAAACCCTTAGCAAGGGTCCTGATAAATAATGAAGGGAAAAGAGGAAATGCAATGGCTGAAGTTTGAAAATCTGGTGCTAGGGCCACAGAGGTATGTGTGGATAGAAAACACATTTTAGGGAAAGTAATGGTGAATAGGTGACAGTTGGAAAACAACCATCTCCAGAAGGCAGCTGGTGATGTGTGTGAAGGTTAAGGGGAGGGAAGACTGAGGTACAGGTCTGGGAGTTGCATGCTGAGAGTGCAACTCTCGTGCAGCTAGTATGAGTATAGCAAGGAGGGACCAGGACTGAGTCTTCATGAAAACCCACAAGGGAGGCAGGAGGAAGAGGGAAGATAGAGAAGTACTGGTCAGAAGGGGCAAGGCCGAGAGAGGTTAAGGAAAACATGGTCTGGAGGGAAAATTGTATTGGGCAGTCAGGAAGGAATTGGGAGTTTTGAGAAAACTGTTCCTCCCAGAAAAAAAAGAGAAGGAACCATTTCCCAGAGGTTAAGGTGAGAGGGAAATGGAAGTGGTGGGCTCAGCCCATACACAACCCTGTCATTTGCTTACAGTTCCTACGTGTGGAAGAACGAGAGGTGGGGAGCCCATACACAGGACCTGAAGCCCTAAAGAAAGGCCCTCTGTTCATTAAGAAGGTGGCCACCGATCAAGGTCCCAAAGATCCACCCCAGGGAGAGGGTCCTTCAGACTTGCCCTGCCCCCCAGACCCTGCTTCTGGTACCAAGGAAGCCTCCAAGAGCACCATGACAGCCACCAGTGCCACCACTGCTGCCACCGAGCCCACACCCCAAGCGACAGGCCCAGAGCCGAAAGGCAAGGACAGTGCCAAAGGTTTCTGTGAGCCCATGGGGGAGAAGAAGAGTTCGACCTCCATCTTCCTGACTGTCCCAGGCCCCCACTCTCCAGGGCCCATCAAGTCACCCAGACCCATGAAATGCCTTGCCTCCCCATTCGCATGGCCACCCGCGAGGCTGGCTCCCAGCATGTCCTCGCTCAACTCCCTGGCCACCTCCTGCTTTGACCTGACAGATATCAGCCTCACCATTGAGTATGCACTTCTTTGCTTAATCTTTTCTAAGATCACCTGCCTGAAAAATAACTCCCTGGAGGGAAAAGTAGATATGAACTTACTTTTCTGTTCAAGTTCTGTTTTTTCACAGAATGGCTTCACGAGAGGCAGCATGGCGTGGTAGAAAGAACCCAGGGGAGGGATGGGGTGGGGTGGAGGGGAGAGCAAGTGAGCACAGGTACACCAGTCTATATACAAAACTGTAAATAGACCCTGGACTTTGGCTGTTACAGCAGAAATCTTCCCTGAATTCTGAAGTTACACAGGGATAATATGGAATTATGTAATCAATGACTGCCACTTAAGTGCTAATGATGGGGATAGTGCATTATTTAATTCCATTTTCACAATAACCCTATGAAATAGAACTTACTATCCTAAAAGTCAACTCACCCAAGGTCCCACAAGCAATCACGCTGTAAGGCAGGTCCCACTCCAGGGCTCATGCTCTTCCTATGGTAAAGCAGGATCATTACACGTGAATGTGGGATGGAACTGACATCCAACTGAAGAATTTTTAAATTAACCCATATTCCGAAAGCAGGACATGCTTTGTCTTGGGGATAGGGAGAGAGGCCAACACTTGTAAAGGCAAGAGAAGTGACCAGCCCTTTCTTTGCAGGGGCAGGGATTTCAGGCCGCGGAGGCTGGGCGAGATTCAGCTCACAGTGCGTTATGTGTGTCTGCGGCGCTGCCTCAGCGTGCTAATCAACGGCTGCAGGTAAAGACCCAAAATGGAGGGGGGCACTTGGCAGAGATGGGCAGCCCCAAGATACTAGTAGACAATACAATGGGAACCAGTGAGGTTTGAAGGCTGTCTTGCTGTGAGTGACAAGGTCCTCAATGGTGTTGATGGGCTCAAGCCAAGGGCTTTGCTCAGAAGCAAGCGCTGCCAAACTGTCTGGGGTAGTGGGAATCAGTACATTTTCTCAACTTCCTTTAGATGGAAAGTATTTAGCTGTATTCCAAACTATACGAAAACTCATGTTGTCAAAACCATGCATCGGATGTTTTGTCCTCCCAATTCTACAGACTTTTGCTTTGTTGGTCATCTAGACTCCTGGGCATTTTTATCCTCAAGGGCACCTAAAGCTCAATAGCTAGTACAGCTTTCTCCACATGAGTGTTTTCAATGTTTGAAAATCAGGACCTTTTTTCTTTAATGTCTTTGAAACCAAATCAGAAACCTGACACGCTGTACCAGCAGTGGAGTTGATCCTTATGTCCGTATCTACTTGTTGCCAGAAAGGAGGTGGGCAAGTCGTAAGAAGACCTCAGTGAAGCGGAAGACCGTGGAACCCTGGTTCGATGAGACGTAAGTGGTCCAGTCGGCCTGCCCAGAGTGCCTCGCCCACTCAGGTACTTGCTGAGCACCTGTTGTGTGCCTGGCCGTCTGCCGGATCATGTGAAGGGCTAGGGTTGAACAGGACAACATGGTCTATGCCTTCATGAAGCTTCTATATACTTTAGTGGAAGAAAAGAGTTGCCAGGGCAGTTTAGCAAAACAGCTGACTACTTACGTGGTCATAGGAGCTAAAGTATTCCTGATTATGTAATATTCCACACCTTTAAATGAAGCCTCTTTGGCAGGAAAAGGATTTTAATCTGGTTAAATATATTTTCTTTGAATCTGTGTTAGAGCAGAAGTTAAAAATAAACATAAAATTTTCTCTAAAGCAAGTCCTTTGGCCTCTCTTCCCTCCTTCAACAAAGCATAGGAGACAGATACCCTCAATACCTTGTCCACCCATGTCCTTGGGGGACATTGCTTGTTTTCGATGGCTTTGTGGGGGTAAGTCTTATCCATTTTTTATTTCAAGTGGGCCTCAAGGTACAGAAATAAAAATCTCATCATTGCTTCCTTCTTCACAATCCTGAGAAGACATTTCTAGCCAGCCAAGGAAGATATACCTGATAATTTTGGTTTTCTCTTATCTTAGAATAACTACCCATTTTAGCTTTTACTTCCCTTGACTATGGGACCAGACAGAAAATCAATAAGGCAACATTGACCTTAACAAGTATATACAGAACATTCCATCCAAAGCAGCTGAATATAGGTACATTCTCAAATGCATATGGAACACTCCTCAGGATAGATCATGTTAGACCACTAAAGTCTTAATTTAGGAAGACTGGAAAAGATGCCCCATATGATTTCAATCAAATGGCATGAAATCAGAAATTAATTAAAAGAGGAAAACTGGACAGTTCACAATTATGTGGAGATTAAACAATGTGTTATTGAACAACCAATGGGTCAACAAAGAAATCAAGAGAAATGAAAATGGAATGCAACAAAAGCAGTTCTAAGTGGGAAGTTCATAGCGATAAATCTCTAAATGAATAAACGAGATCAAAGCCCAAAGTTAGAAGGAAAGAAAAAGATCAGAGTGGGAATAAATGAAATAAACTAAAAGGACAATAGAAAAGATAAAACTAAGAGCTGGTTCTTTGAAAAGATAAAGTTGATAAACCTTTAGCTAGACATAACAAGGAAAAAAGACAAAATAAAATCAGAAAAAAGAAACATTACAAATGATACCACAGAAATATATATATTATTGATTTCAGAGAGATAGAAATATCAATGATGAGAGAGAATCACTGATCAGCTGCATGCCCCCCCCCCTCCCACCGGGGATTTGAGCCGTGAACTCCTGGTTCATAGGTCAGTGCTCAACCACTGAGCCAGACTGATACCACAGAAATAGAAAGGATCATAAAAGACTACAATTATACACCAACAGATTTAACAATCTAGAAGAAATGGGTAAATTCCTAGATACATACAACCTACCAAGGCAATCATGAAGAAATAGAAAATCTGAATAGACCAATTACTAGTAAGGATTTTGAATGAATAATATCTCAATAGAAGCAGAAAAAGCATTTCACATACATTCATTCATAATGAAAACTCTCAACATAACAAAGGCCATATATGACAAGCCCACAACTGATAGCATGTTCAATGATAAAAAGCTTTAAACCTTCTAAGATCAGGAACAAGACAAGTATGCTATGCCCATTCTTGTCACCTTATTCAACATAGTACTGGAAGTCCTAGCCAAAGCAATCAGGCAACAAAAAGAAATAAAAGGCCCCCAAATTGGAGAGAAGTAAAATTGTTACTATTTACTGATGACATACTATACATAGAAAATCCTAAAGAATCCACAAAAAAAACTGTTGAAACTAATCAACAAATGTAAGAAAGTTACAGGATACAAAGTCAATATACAAAAATATGTTGCATTTCTGTACACTAATGAACAGGGGATAAATTAATCCCATTTAAAATATTATAAAGAATAAAATACCTAGGAATAAATTTAACCAAGAAAGTGAAAGACCTGTAGATTGAAAACTATAAGACATTAATGAAAGAAATTGAAGGGGACATAAATAAATGGAAAGATAGTTTGTGCTCATGAATTGAAAAATTAATACTATCCACAGCAATCTACAGATTCAACAGAATCCCTATCAAAATCCCAGGTATATTTCATAGAGATAGAATAAACAATCCTAAAATTTGCATGAAACTATAAAAGACCCAAAGCAACCTTGAGAAAGAACAAAGCCAGAGGCATCACACTCCTCAATTTCAACTACTAGTATATTACAAAGCTACAGTAATCAAACAGAATGTTACTGGCATAAAAACAGACACACAGATCAATGGAACAGAATAGAGAACCCAGAAATAAACCCACACCTATATGATCAACTAATATTCAACAACAGCACCAAGACCACAAAGCACAATAGTCCAATGACTTAAGAGAGGCAAACAGACTCTTGACACTTCCAGGACAATGATTATGTATGCCAGTGATGCACTGAGTATCTGCTATGAGCCAATACTGTTCTATAAGCTATTCTCAATAGTCTATATATCTTCTGTTTCAAAAGTAGGAAAATGGATGAGACACTTTCAATGAAAATATGTAACTCTGATTTCCTGACTCTTTGCTTCTTAAAGATTTGAATTTTTTGTTCCCTTGGAAGAAGTACAGAAGAGGTCACTAGACGTTGCAGTGAAAAACAGTAGGCCACTTGGCTCACACAGAAGGAAGGAGCTAGGAAAAGTAAGTACAAGAACAAGAGTTCCTTGGGAATGGCACCCTTGTAGAAATTTTGATTGGATCGTTTAACTGTTACCAGAACTGAATTCAAGGAAGTTATGGCCTCATTAGGAGATTTTGGGTGTGTTTCTTAAAATATTCTTGAAACTAAATGATGTAGATGAATAAATTAATATGATAAATCCTACTGTAAAAAACTCAAGAATATCCCAATTCATTATTGCATAAGTGTTTGAACATCTACTATGGTATTAAGTATTGTTTCTGTATATTTTTCTGTATATATATATATATAGCATTGTTGTAAAGCTAGGATCTTATTACGTCAATATTTTTGTGATAGGATTTTGCTTAAAGTAGTAGAGGAAATAGAATCTTCAGAAAGATGCCAAGGGGAGACAAAGAAGAATTATATTTGTACAATACCTCGTAGTTGTATTCTAATAAACATCTCCTTATGCTCATCTTTTTAAAGCCCACTTCTATGAAGTAGGTGATATTATCCCCATTTTTACAGTTGAGGCAACTATGGTGTCTTGCTTTAAGTTATGATCAGTTAATGAGTAAAGGCAAGCTATTCTCTCTTTCTGTAACATTCATATAGACATTCCTGGGGTATACAGCAATTCACCTCCCCAGGACATTGAGGTCACTGTCCTTCTGGAGAGGTTCCATGTTGAAAGCCAAATAGACCTTTTTATGATCAATTCCATTTATCCCAGTATGTTTCCATTTAGTGCAACATTTTTTAAAGGGAACTGATTTATTTGTGATTGTTTAGGTGCTGATTGATTTATCAAAAGAAGATCTGATTATGGGCTTCTCACAATGGTAAGTGAGCCCTTTCATTTTATCATGTTAATAGTCTCATTTGCCCATATTCTCTCTCCAAAGTTTTTCTCTTCTCAGAACATTTCAGTTCCTTTGATTGAGGAGGAAGGCTGATTATCAATCACCTTTACTATCTGCAGATCTCACTTACCTAAAGGATCTGTCAGCTCTAGCCTTAATCCTGGCTTATAAAGAGATGGGTTCTGCTGGTCCCATACAGACCCATGCAAGCTAGACTGTCCTGATGCTATCACAACACACTCTCAATACTAACATAAATCCAAACCCAATTGTCTTACAGGTATGAGCTCACTCCAGATGGACAGCCCAGAAGTTGATGAAGAGCAACATAATCACCTTTATATTAAAATGTGTATATATGTATAGTTTGTAATTTAATTCAGAACAACCATTTGAAAATATATATACATACATTCTTGTGTGAATTTAACTGGATAGTATTAGAAAGAGGTAAACATAAGTAAAAGCCAGAACTACTCTCTCTTGGTTGGATTTAATTGTTCAAATTCCAAAAGAAATGGGGTATTCATGGCTAATCAATTATTAGAACCTCAGCAGTGATTTTTTTCACTTTTGATAGGTAATTATAGACCATCGGACTTAGGCCTTGCCTGAATGTATGTGTCAAAAGTGCCCTATCTCAGACATAGGGGGTGGGGAGGAGGCTTCTTTTATGAGACTAAAAGGTGACCCACCTCCAAATTGCCAAAAGATAACACTACCTAAGCCCACTGCCACCTCTGGTACTCCTCTGCCTGGGGATTTATTCCTGTATCTGAATTGGAACTAAAATGTATTTTTTTCTGATGGGGGGAACAGTGATATACCTAAACACCTTGAGTTAAATACTCTAGTGTGGATGGCCTGGGACCAAACTCCAGCATGTGGCATTATTTCCATAGGAAATGCAGGCCAGGTTCCAGACTCAGGTCTATGTCTGCACTCCCCTAGCAGAGCTGGACTCTGCTGCAGTCAGTGCCAGAGGGGCTTTCTGTATCCTCTCAGACAGATGTGGAAATTCAGCTTCACTTTTCTAAGAGACAGCTGGTTCCTCTAATAACATGTAAAAAGCAAACCATGTAAACTGTATATTTAAATAAGTGCCTCGTAGAGAGCAGAGTGGTGCAGCGGAAGTGTGCTGGGCCCATAAATAAGTGCCTCTTTTGCATTTCAAACTATAAAACCAAATATTCTTGTTCTCAGCTGTGCCTAGAGCTGTTATGAAGGTCACGTCCTTGTCTCCTTTATCCACTCAGACAATGCCCCGTTGCCATCAGTTTTCTCTCCCTGCTACTGCATTCCCTGCAGCTTTTCTAAGAATAGTAACATCTTAAAGCACAGTTTACTCTGTTATTCTCACTTATAAATTATCTATGATTTTCTCTTTTCTATAAGGTTAAAGCCCATTTGCCTTTTAAACCTAACATAATCTAATCTCCAGTTTTTTGCTACTTTATTTGCTCTATTCTAGAATAGTCCAAATATTACCTCCTGCTTATAAAAATCCTACTCAGCTCTTAAAGGCCTATCTCAAATCCACCTCCTCAACTAGGTCAATCCACACTGAAATGGCCTCTCCCCACCACCTATAGTATAGCAATACTGTCAATACTGTGCATTTTTTCATTTTAACAATTCCCTGCTTGTTACATTTAATTTTAAAAAGTTTACTAGGTATCTATATGCTAAGCAACTGCTTGTATTGTGTTTGGTATTTTTTGTTTCCGTTTACTCTCCAATTGAACTATAGAGGAACCTCGGTTCTTGAACTTAATTCATTCTGGAAGGCTGTTAAAGGAGTGATGTGTTCGAAAACCAAATCATTTTTCCCATTAGAAATAATGTAAATTCAATTAATCCATTCCAGACCCCCAAATGATTCACTGCTTTAATCTTTCTTATATACAGTACATGTCTAATGTACTTTTTAATCTATAAATAAGCACTTATTTTCTTAAATTTATCAAACCACCCCCTACTAGCCTTAAATGAATCACTTTCAGGTCAGCATGCAGCATCTTTATTTGTTCATTTATCACTGCCTCCAAAATGGCTGTCACTGACTGCTTTTTGTTTATCCAAATCAACCGTTTTTCTACCTCTTGGCCTCCTTTATGTCTTAAAATTGTGCTAATCAATGACTTCCCCAGCAACAAAAGCATTATCTCTTTGTTGCCTGAGCCTTTCATGCTGAGATATCAGCATGCTGAGATATCAGCATGAAAGGGTTGTCAGGTTGAAAACCGAAGTTTGGTTCCACAACCTAGACATTTTTTCTGTGAGCAACTTGGTCAAGAGCAGAATTGTTGGAGTTGGGAGACATTGGAGAAATGAGTTTTGACTATATAAGCTATTTGAATTGATTTTCACCTCCATCATCCAAGATTATGCTAATACATGGTAGATGTGTAATTTATTTCTGCTGAGATTTCTATCTTGAATGGCAAATTCTCATAATAAAATGGGGCGACTGATGCCTGTCCTATCTACCTCACAATGGCATTGTCATGTTCATTAAGTAGACTTGAAAATGGTGAAGTAAAAGGGAATGTTACCAGATATCATATCCTGAAATCTGGCAACCCTAAAACAACGGATCAAAACGGCAAAGCAGACAAGTAAAAACCTATCTTTCCTCTTCCAAACACATAGAAAACCTAGTTCAGTGGTTCTCAACCTTCTGGCCCTTTAAATGCAGTTCCTCATGTTGTGACCCATCCATAAAATTATTTTCGTTGCTACTTCATAACTGTAATGTTGCTACTGTTATGAATTGTAATGTAAATATCTGATATGCAGGATGGTCTTAGGCGACCCCTGTGAAAGGGTCGTTCGACCGCCCAAGGGGTCGCGACCCACAGGTTGAGAACCGCTGACCTAGTTAAAGCATGAACATTTATTTTAAACATGGTTGATTAAAAAGTAACACAGGTAAGGTTAAAGAGGCAATCTAAAGCAATGTATAGGAGTTGAAGGGGTGTTTAAGTGTTGAAGGGAACCTGAATTTTAGCATACACTAGCCAGGAGACAAGGCTACTTACTATGTGAGGGACAAGGAGCCTGAAAAATTTAGTGTCATCAAGTAAAGACCTTTTCAATAAAGACAAGGAATTGGTTGTCAGCAATGGGTGAAAACAATCAGCTAATCTCCCTTATGGGTTCACAGGATCTAAAGTTAACACAACTGACTTGGTATGGGAATCCCCCAAACTTGAAACTTATGTGAAAATTGGTTTTGAACCTGGAACCATGTGAAGCCCTGTAAGAGGCAACCACAAAACTGGCCCTTAGGGTTGCCATTCCCATCCAGGGCACGTGTGGACCACTGCAGCAGATAATTCCCCTAAAGCAGTGGTGCTCAACCTTCCTAATGCCGCGACCCTTTAATACAGTTCCTCATGTTGTGGTGACCCCCAATTTCATTGTTACAAATTGAACATAATTAAAGCATAGTGATTAATCACAAAAACAATATGTAATTATATATGTGTTTTCCGATGGTCTTAGGCGACCCCTGTGAAAGGGTCGTTTGACCCCCAAAGGGGTCGCGACCCACAGGTTGAGAACCGCTGGCCCTAAAGGGAAGCTCACTGGATAAATTATAAAAAGTATAATTTACAAATATGAAGCAGATTAAACAAAAATGGCCAGATGTATTTCAGCAAGAATTCAGAAGTGGTGTGTGGGAAACAGTAGAGAGTAAAGAAATCTGCAAAATATGTTGGTAACCCTCAGTAAGTCTTGATTGTTTAAAAACATACACAAGTCAAACAACTTGGGGTATATTAGACTAAATGTGAAAGGCAAAACTATATAGCTATAAGATAATATAGGAAAATAACATTACAACTTGTGACTACGGAAAGATTTCCTAAGACATGAAGAGCACTAACTATAACTATCAAAATTAGATTCTGCAGTTCATAAAAAGAAACTATAGGAAAATGGAAAAATACAAAATGGAAGAAAACATTTGCAACACATGTAACTGTCAAATCGCTCATGTCCAGAATATACAAATAATTCTTACAAACCAATAGAAAGACAGTCCAACAGAAAAATAAAGATACATAAATGCACTTTAAAAAAAGAAGTATAAATGGCCAATAACCAAATAAAAAGATGCTTACCTTCATTAGTAACAACACAAATAAACATTAAAATAACAGCTCTATACACTAGTCTGGAAAAAAAGTTTAAAAACTGATTTACTTGGTATTGGTCAGGATATGGAAAAGTAGGAACTCCTTTACAGATGTTGGGAGTATAAACTGGTGCAACAACTTTGGAAAATAGCTTGGCATTTTCTTCTAAAACTGCAGATACACAGTCCCTATTAAAAGTAGCCACACTTGCCCTCGCCGGTTTGACTCACTGGATAGAGTGTCGGCCTAAATAACAGCTCTATACACTAGTCTGGAAAAAAAGTTTAAAAACTGATTTACTTGGTATTGGTCAGGATATGGAAAAGTAGGAACTCCTTTACAGATGTTGGGAGTATAAACTGGTGCAACAACTTTGGAAAATAGCTTGGCATTTTCTTCTAAAACTGCAGATACACAGTCCCTATTAAAAGTAGCCACACTATCATCCCAGAGCCTCCATTCACATTGTTACCTATAGAAATAGTACTACCTCCATTTGTACAGTACACAGCCTCTGTGGCTACATATAGAAGTGTTTTCCCCTAAGATCCAGCAGTTTTACTTCTTGGATATTGATTCTAGAAAACTTGCACACAAGTGTACAAAGTTCCATGTACAAGAATTTTCATAGCAGCAGTTCATAGTAGCTAAGAACTAGAAACAACCTAAATATCAATCTCCAGTAGAACAAATGGATTATAGAATATTCATAGAGGAATACTAGACAGCAATGAAAACAAATGGCCTAGACTTACACAACAACATGGATGTACAGTAAAAACATAGTACTGACCAAAATAAGAAATGTTAAAAATAAACACATGATTCCATTTTTATAAAGTTCAAAACTAGGCAAAATTCAACTACCTTGGTTTAGGCATACACACAAAAATGACCAAGCTATTTTTACAAAATAAACACTTCCTTACCTCTAATGGTGGGTGGGGAGGCCTTTTGGAGTGCTTGTGATGTTCTACTTTTTGGTTGTTGCATGGTGTTCACTTTATAATCATTTGTTATACTTGACATTTATGGTTTTTAGCATTTTTAACATATATTTTACAATAAATAAAAGATTAGTGAAATAAATGAAAAAGAATATCCAGCAACTATTAATTAAAAGGACAAGATTGCATTCAAGGCAAAATGCATTAGGAGCAATAAACAGAGATATTAATCAAGAGGATATTATCAACTATGAATTTGTAAATACTTATAAAATGGATTCAAAATATATAAAACAAAATTTGAAAAATTCAGAGATTTCAGTATCGCCCATAAACTAACAAGTCAAGCAGACAAAAAGTAGATTTAAACAACATAGTAGCTATATATGTGTGTGTATATGAAATTAGACTTTTTTAAAGCACATGTAGAACAGGTATATAATTTATCACATAGTCAACAAATTTCCAAATACTTAATATCCAAAAGACCATGTTCTCTGACTACAATGCAATAAAATTAGAAAAAATAAAGAGACAACCCTGAATTATTTTCTTCTAAACTTCCACTTTTAACCAGGATGGACTGACAGAAACCAAATTTACCCTTCCACCTATACCAACCAAAATCAAAATAAACAACAAAAAGACAAAATACATGAAAACAATAGTTTTCAAGACACTGAATATCAGGTATGTGTCCACAAAAAGACCTGAACATGAATATTCATAGGAGTTTTATTTGTAGAAATAGTAAAAAACTGGAAATAACCCAGATTTCCAACAATAAATGAGTGGACAAATTATGGTCTATTCAGACAATGAAATACTGCACAGCAATAAAAAGGAACAAAATAAATGCAACAACATGCAAAAATCTCAAAATAATTATTTCAAGTGAGAATACAAAAGAAGAGAACACAGGCCTAACCGGTTTGGCTCAGTGGATAGAGCGTCAGCCTGCGGACTCAAGGGGCCCAGGTTTGATTCCAGTCAAAGGCATGTACCTTGGTTGCGGGCATATACCCACTAGGGAGTGTGCAGGAGGCAGCTGATCGATGTTTCTCTCTCATCGATGTTTCTAACCCTCTATTCCTCTCCCTTCCCCTCTGTAAAAAAAATCAATAAAATATATTTTAAAAAATCTTTTCCCTTAAAAAAAAAAGAAAGAAAATTAGAAAGAAAGAACACATTGTATGACTCCATTTACATAAAATCCTATCAAATGCAAACTATAATGACTAAAAGCAGATTATTTGTTGCCAGGGCAAAGAAATAAATTTTGGAGTGATGGTATGTTTATTATTTTGAATGTGGTGATGGTTTCACATGTGTATAAGAACTTATCACACTATATACTTTAAATATGTATAATTCATAGGTCAATTATACATCAATAAAATTGTAAGAAAATCAAGAGGTAAATATTTGCAGAACTTTACTTATATTTTAACTAATTGTCTGATAAAGAGGACTTAACATTTTTACTAGTGGCATTAGCCCTCCAAAAAACTCCTAGGCCTCTGAAGAAGAGTCTGAAAAACCTTTGTTTTAAACCAGCGGTACAGGATAACACTCCAACCAAGTGAGCTACACTGGCCAGGTCCCAAATATTTTTTCTATCCAACCCTCAGATACAGATTCTTTCACAAATTGTGGGCTAGTGTTTGGAAATGTAATTGCAGGCTAACAAAACAATTTTAAATCTAGAAAGAACTATGTCTAATCCCTAAGGTCACAACACCAAGGACCTGGATGCTTATCTACTGACATTACTCTCTCCACTCCAACCTGCTGCTTCATGGAAATTCTTTGTAATATTCTACACAACCACAAACAAGAATAACTAAGAACTCTTCCTAGGCCTACTACTTATGACAGTGAGCGGGGAGGGGATACAGGGCTGTGGTAGGGGAGAAGCAGCAATAACTCAAAGTGGCTTATACTCATAGATGTGAGGCAGAACACTAGTCCTTTAAGAAAATAAAGACTTGAATATTGAAAATAAAGAATAAGTAGATGACAGCCAAGGGTGAACCTGCTGCCCAAGGAAGGCTCAGCCTAGTAAGAGAATATGACTCATTATTCGTGAGTGATACAAATAAGTCACTGAGGACGCTTATGTTTGAAAATTCTTCATAAAAATTTTATTTAAGATCTCATGCCCTTATAAAAAGTACATTACATCAAGATTGCAAAAAAAAGACACTTTTTTATGAGAAACTTTTATCTACTCATCTATGTTACCTCGTAATTCATTTCCTACCCTAACACATTTCCTCCTCCTTCCTTTTCTTACTCTTGCTTTGAAAGGATAAGTGCCATGAGGGATATCCTAATAGAAGGTGCCATTTTCTTGCCAGGAAAGCAATATCTTCCTACTGGACTTAAGAAAGCCATTGGCATTCCTTGTTCCCAGAACCAGAAAGGTCACTAAATCCTGAACTTAAATGTGACCTTTCTATTATTTTCAATCTCTCCCTGAGTTTCTCTTGTACTTACACACTATACTTTAAATCAATCTTAAATTTTAAGCACTCAAGAATTGCTTAAGAAATGATTAAAGGGTCTAAAGTTAACTGCTTTAACTTAACTGTTTTCTACATAAGAATCTCAAAGTTAAAAAAAAATGAGTGAGAACCCAATACAAAGAAGGGGATGAATTCTGAAAGTAAACACTTTTTATGACTCTTGTCTCAAAGGTAAGATCAATTGTACAAAATAATTAGAATGTTAAGAATGCAATTTACACAGTAAAAATGATTTGTTTTCAGTATGAAAGTACTTTTAATTTCTTTACTGCAGGTACAATGGCATCCAAGTTATCAATTTCTGTAATAAAAAACACACAGTAATAATAAAAGAGTAGCACTGTCTAGTGATAGGCTCAGATGAAATGAGAATTTCTATGCAAAAGCAAACCTCAAACACAAAAGCAACAACACTGGTGCTTTCATGTACATGACATTTTTCTCCAATAGTGATAAGAGTTATCAATAATTCAGACACAGATGCTTCACAGGGCATCTTGTTTGTAAAAGCTACCACATACCGACAAGCATTCACTGCCTTTAAAATTAAATTCATTAGCAGTATGCTTTTATTAATAGATCGTTCTGGCCACATTTATGATATTATGTTACTGCCTCTTTAAGTCTGTATAATTACGTGAGTGAGCCTACATGGTGAAATCCCAGGTAGAGGCCATCTCTCTCCTGGGTCCCTAAGGATTTCTTTGCATGAAACATAGTCCTATCCTTAATTCTTTTGGAAAAATTTCTCATTAGGATCACTCTTAAGTATACTTTTTAGGATGAAACCTATCTATCTAATAAAAGATGTGAAGCTTCCCAAAGTACAACTATCAGATGCAATGTATTATAGAGGTTAGCCTGCTCCAGCTTCCCAGATAAATCAGTTGAGGTTTTTCTCCACCAGCTTCTTTCTGAATCTGATTTTTCTTCCTAAAACGATCTTTTCCCAATCAGCCTAAATCAGACTCTGTCTGAAAGCTCCTGGCTACTGAGGAAGCACAGTCCTTTCTCTGATTATCTAAACTCCATGCCCTACCCGGTTTGGCTCAGTGGGTAGAGTGTCAGCCTGTGGACTGAAGGGTCCAAGGTTCGATTCAGTCCAGGGCACGTACCTTGGTTACAGGTTCCCTGATTGAGGTATCTGCAGGCAGCAACCAATTGATGTCTCTCTCTCACATCGCTGTTTCTCTCTGTCTCTCCCTCTCCCTTCCACTCTCTCTAAAAGTCAATGGAAAAATATCCTCAACTGAGAATTAACAACAAAAAAATAAAAAAAATAAACTCCAACCCTACTTAAAGTAAGCCCCAGTGGTAGGTTCTCTAGATTCTCACCACTTTTTCTAGATTATTCTGCTAGGCCACTGTTCATAAACCTTACATAAAACATGCTTCCTTAGTATCCACCTTTCTCCCTCAATGTTTAGCTGGATTTGGGTTGTTCTTCCTTTTGCCTAAACACATGACCCATGTTGCTTAAGCTTCTGACTTCAGTCAGAATACTTTTCTGGATCCACTTACAAAGCATCGAGATATAAGAAAGGAAAAAATATAAGCAAATTTACAACATAGAATTTGGTTTACACATTAAAACCTGGTAAGGTATAAGAGCACGCTATTATCTAACCCCATTCTGAAATCGCACATATTTTCTCACTAAATGGGAAATCTACCTGATAAATGAACCTCACAGAGAAGAATCTTGGCTGATACGAAAATTTTCTGATTATATGAAAGGAAGAAAGTCCTTCTCCATATCTGATATTCAGTACATCACTCTGTAGGACTAGATGCTTAACATAACATCTAGTAATAAAAAAAAGTCATGCTTGCCAAAACAGATTTAACTTTCCCAATGTTATGTATATATTTAACTCCAGAATTCCAACTGTGACTAAAATGCAGACTTCACCTGCAGGGAGACTTGGCTTCTTGAAGCAAATGATCTCACATGAACCATGCTGATAACATCTGAGAGGAAGTTTGTATAGAAGGATTCTAAAATAAGTGTTACCAGTACATCCATTAAAATATTTATTAATAATGAGAACTTCGCTATTTAAGTTAACTATGCAGAAGCAAGTAAAATCATATTATTCTATACTGGGGATCAAACCCACAACCTGAGTATGTGCCCTGACAAGAAATCAAACCTACCACCTTTTGGTGGATGGGACACTGCTCCACCCAACTGAGCCACACCAGCCAGGAATCATTTGTATATTTAAAAAACACAGTAGATAAGTACTATCTTTTAAAAGGAGCAAGAGGAGGAGGAAGAGAAAAAACACTACCCAAGGTCATAAATTCTATCACAGCGTCAGGGCCTAGCCAGAGTAAATTGTCACTTCTCATCTTAAGGTCCCAGGACAAAGGCAGCCCCTTACTCCTTAAAGGATATGTGCTTCTCTGTTCTGTAGACTAATCCCAAACACCTCTAACTGCAAGTTAAGAGTGTTTTGCAGAACTACTCATAGTTTCCAGACACTTTCTACCAAACACTCTAGGTGAAAACACTAATTCAGTGACTAAGGAGAACGGTCTTCGCTCAAACCCACTGACATCTTCAGACTTGAAATTTAAACACCATTAACAGAGATCTTACCTAAGATTTCAAGTAGATCATTAGTGAATGCCTGAAATGCTGGAAAAAATTCCTCGTGTTCTTGCAATTTGATGATAATGCTTAAAAAAACAAAAAAACAAAAAACACGCAGTTTACACTGAATTTCCAACTTAAAGTTCTTGCATCTGATTGAATATAGAACATTTTCAAAATAGAAATTGTCCTAACTTAAATATAAATTTAATAATTTACTGTAATAATTTCTTTTGAGCTCTTCGTTCATCAAACATCACTTTTCTAAAATATATATATCTTATTATCAGTGTAAATATCTGTTCTAAGGTTAAATTTAGGTAAATTCATATAAAGTTTCCCTACCATGTAGCTCAAGGATTCTTAAGAGACCATGTTCTATAATATATTAAAAAATAATTGGCTTTGCCCTAACTGGTTTGGCTCAGTGGATAGAGTGTCGGCCTGCGGACTGGAGGGTCCCAGGTTCGATTCCGGTCAAGGGCATATACCTTGGTTGCGGGCACATCCCCAGTAGGGAGTGTGCAGGAGGCAGCTGAATTGATGTTTCTCTCTCATCGATGTTTCTAACTCTCTATCCCTCTCCCTTTCTCTCTGTAAAACATCAATAAAATTAAAACAACTCCTTAACATTTTATCTTCTAATCAAATATGTAGTGTACTAAAAATAGAACTTGTTTATACATTCTAAACTCACATGAAGTTGCTAACAAGGTTTGAATTTCTCCACATATAATGTCCCCTGGGAACAGGCTTATAGCAATAACGCTAGATTATATAAACATATACACCTTATGTAAGCCTATAGGCCAGTGATGGTGAACCTATGACATGCGTGTCAGAGGTGACACGCGAACTCATTTTTTTGGTTGATTTTTCTTTGTTAAATGGCATTTAAATATATAAAATAAATATCAAAAATATACATCTTTGTTTTACTATGGTTGCAAATATCAAAAAATTTCTATATGTGACACAGCACCAGAGTTAAGTTAGGGTTTTTCAAAATGCTGACATGCTGAGCTCAAAAGGTTCACCATCACTGCTATAGGCTCTACAATCTATTTTTATCTTGAAAACACTTGGCATTCTCTCCATCCCTAAGGTGTGAGATTATTTTAGATTGTCAAGTTATTTAAAGGATGCTATTCCAAACAGGAAAGGTAAAGAACTTAAAAAGTTGTGAGAGTCTTTAATTTCACCACTCTAACGATTCTGAATGATATTTTGCAAGCTTTTTAAAACAAATACCTTTGGAGGTCCTCAGGTCCCAATACCTGCATAACCTGTTCATTCATATCCTCATTAATCAGCCTACACAATTTTCCAACTGTGCTTACCAGCACACACAATGAGGATGAACTATCTGCAAAAAGATAAAATAAAAGAATAAGGTATTTTAAGCTAAGATTTGGAAACAGCCTAAATGCCCATCAGCAGATGACTGGATTAGAAAACTGTGGTACATCTACACAATGGAATACTACGCTGCTGTAAAAAAGAAGGAATTCTTACTATTTTCAACAGCATGGATGGAACTGGAGAGCATTATGCTAAGCAAAATAAGCCAGTCAGTGAAAGATAAATACCACATGATCTCACTCATTTGTGGAATATAAAGAACATTATAAACTGGTGAACAAAAATAGATACAGAGGCAAAGAAGCATCAAACAGACTGTTAAACTACAGCGGGAAGGCAGGGGAGGGTTTGGGGGGGGATAAGAGATAAACTGAAGGACTTGCATGAATGCATATAAGCATAACCAATGGACACAAGACACTGGGGGAAGGAGGGGGAGGGCATGTGCCAGGGGGAGGGGGGGAAGGTCAATGGAGAAAGAGGAGACACATGTACTACTATTTGTAATACTTTAAACAATAAAATAAAATAAAAGAATAAGGTATTTTTAAAAACGAATTCTCAAAATCATTATCAAACCAATTATCCTTAATTATCCTTCACTTATCGTGAATTTTTAAAAAATTTTTTTACCTACTTTTTGTTGATTTATTAGGAATAATTCTTAAATGGGGGCCCAAAATGACTAAGGGTCATCACCTAATTCTAAGAGTTCTTGGAGGTTTCTCACAGCACTGTTCAGTTCTCCAAGCCTAGTATAAACTTCATTCATTCGGGGATAGACTCCAGTTAAAGAAGGCACATCAAATAATTTTTGGAAATGAGAAACAATAGCTTGCAAAGTTTTAAAGTTTGGTATGTTCCTGTCCTGTCCAAAAGAGGGAGAAAAAGGAAGTTCACATGTTAAAAATAATTCCAAATCTTTAAAAAAAATAATAAAAACTTTAAAAAGAGAAATAAAGTCCTAGTAGACTATCAATATCCATATTGTTACCAATTTTAAGATTACATCCTATATAATCCTATATAATAAAAGGCTAATAATGCAAATTGACCAAACTGTGCAATGACCAGTCACTATTACACACACTGACCAACAGGGGGCAAACGCTCAACGCAGGAGCTGCCCCTGGCCGGGCTCAAGGCTGGCAAGCGCAGTGGTGGTGGCAGGAGCCTTTCCCACCTCGCAGCAGCACTAAGGATGTCCAACTGCTGGCTTAGGCCCGCTCGGACTGCACAAGAGGGCGCAGGCCAGGCTGAGGGACCCTCCCTTCCCCCGCCCCCCGCCCAGTGCACAAAATTTGTGCACTGAGCCTCTAGTTAAAATATAAACATTTTCATAAGTATTAAGTATTACCTTTTCCTTATTTTCAACTTCTTCCAACATGGTATCTACTATAAACAACAGATCTTCAACTCTGATACCTTCCTTTTCATCCTGCTTCTTTAAATTATGCCAAGGCACCAATTCTGCAGATAGTGTTTTCAAGGACTTATACAAATCCTTTATAACAAAAGAAATAACAAGATTTTATTGGTTTAAAAATAAGTTTCCATAAAAATACTAATAAAATATAATTATGTTTCAATGTCTTTTTAAAAATCAGGATTTAGTCCTAACCAGTTTGGCTCAGTGGATAGAGCGTTGGCCTGCAGGCTCAAGGGTCCCAGGTTCGATTCCGGTCAAGGGCATGTACCTTGGTTGCGGGCACATCCCCAGTAGGGAGTGTGCAGGAGGCAGCTGATCGATGTGTCTCTCTCATTGATGTTTCTGGCTCTCTATCCCTCTAATAAAATATATATTTTTTTAAAAATCAGGATTTATGTTAGGATTTACTAAGTACATTAATTATTATCAGTATTTTTTTTTAAATACCATTACCAGTTTAGGAAAGCCTATTAAAATAGTTTTTTTCCAGGTAAATATAGGCCTTACATAAAACATTCTATATTAATTGTCTTTGAACTGGATGTTTTAAGCAATTATATATTATTTTATTATTAGCTTATGTAATTTAAGTAATTGGTTTGATTATTGATGGATAAAAAATAAGCTTGCTCTTTATATTTTTGCCTTGAATTTTCATAACAAACTTAAGATGTAATTTACACAACATAAAATTCACCCTCTTTAAGTGTACAATTGAGTATTTTAATATATTTACAGAGATATGAAGCCATTATTTAATTTCCGAGCATTATTATCAGCACAAAAATAAACCTGCACCTACTTGAAGTCATTCCCCATTCTGTCCTGACCCTAGGCCCTGGGTAACTACTAATCTGCTTTCTTTTTCTATGGATTTGACTATTCTGGGCATTTCACATAAAATGGAATCATATAATAAATGGCCTTTTGTGACTGGCCTTTTTTATTTAGGATAATATTTTCCAGCTTCACCCATATTATGCATATATCTCCAAGCAGGTTTTAATTTGAAAGGATGACTAAATTAATTATATTTAATCTTGATGATGGCCTACTTAGTTTTCCTGGTCTAGACACATTGCCCTAATCTATTTTATTTTTATTTTTTTATTTTTTATTTTTTTGCCCTAATCTATTTTAAACTGTATAGGGGCAAGGCTACTGAAAGTTTAGAACTTTAAGACTGGTCAACTGCTAAACAAATATTTACTGAACATCCATACGTGCACGGCACAGTACTTGGCCCTTTAGAACAATGCTGTCCAAAAGAAATGTGAGTCATAGTAATTTTAAATTGTCTAGTAGCCACACTTTAAAAAGAGAAACACGTGACATTAATGATTTATTTTATTTAACCCAATATATCTGAACTATTACCATTTAGTATTTTTTTTTCCACACTAAGACTTCTAAATGGTGTATTTTATACTTATAGCACATCTCAATTGGAACCAGCCACATTTCAATGATCAAAGCTGCATGTGGCAGGTGGTTACTGTATTAGTGCAATTTCAGAATACAGAAAGAAGTACCAGGTATATAGGAAATTCCTTTTCCAACTCTTTTAGTCCACCACTTATTTAACACTTTCCAATTAACACACATAATGATATCTTTAACCTTTCATTTGGTAAGAAGGTAATCACCTATTTTAGCAATTCAAGGCAATACATTCAATGTCAAATGAATGTTTTAAACATTAGGTGACACCAGAATATTTTAAAAAGTCCAAAAGTTGCAGCATAATGAAACTTTCATTAACCAACGTTCCATCAACAAGATGCAGTCATATACAAATGGCCTATGGTACAAACCACACCAATTATAAAATTTTACTTGAGAATAAAAGTCTTAGCAAGATTAAGCGGGGGGAAGATGTCTGATGTACTCAGCAGTGCAGGATGGCTGTAGGGGTCCATCAAGCAAGCCCTGAAAAACCTAAAAGAGGGTCTTCTAGATTCTCCACATTGCTCAGCTAAGGGATGTAGAAGTACAGGTCATGACTGACTTTGGATGGCTGGCCTCTGGAGCACTAGGGGATGGGAAAGCTACAACACAGCACAGCATTGGGCTGGGAAAGCTACAGAGTCTGTAGCTCAACTTTCCGGAAAATGTGGGTGGTGGGAAAGAGAAGGAAGGAGACAGCTAGCTAGCTAGCTCCAAGCTTTTTCCATCCTTCTCTTTTACACCAAATCTAACTTGAGAAATAAACTAAGTTGGGAAAATGGCTGTTCCAAACTGAGGCTGCTACAGTATAGAAAACCTTTCATATAAGGAGACCTCAAAGAACCTCATGTACTTCCTCAATTTGGATCCCGATTCTGCAGTATAAGGTAAATACCTGACACACGGCCCCATATCTCTGAGTTACTTCAGTGGCAAGGTCACTAAATTCCTGTTGGGGGTCCTCAGGATATTCTAATTATAAAACTAATTCTCCTTGTCTCTTTCTAGTGGGAAAAATATACAGTAGCAAGAACTCACCACCACTGTAAAGCTTTTCCTGGGGGCTCCTTCCTCCTCCAGAATTTGGAGTACAAATTATTTGCATCATCCACTTGGCACTTCATGGCCTATCTGTTTTCATTTCTTCCTATGGTAAATTTTATTTCATATATTTTAGCATGTTTTCTCTCTCCAATTAATCTGAACCTGTGTTCACATTTTCTGATACCTCCCACAATGAACACAGTAAATAACCAATAACTATCCGTTTCTTTGATTCTTCCTTTGCCTCCTTTCTCTTCTAATCTTTCCCTTGTCTTGGGAAGGCTGGGGCATTTTTTTAGCCCATCTGCCCTGAGAAGGAGAAAATTGAAGTCTGCACTAATCTCTCCTACTGGAAGAATCCCCTGACAAGCAATAATTTGGAAAATGCCATGATTTACATAAGTAATCACTAATTATTTCACTCTCTTCTAAGATATAAACTGGAGGAACTCAAGCCTATAAAATAGGTATATTAATCCAACACTGTCACTCAATTAAAATTTTCCTTATTTTATTTTATAGCTCTGAGCCCTAGTTAAAATGGGAAGAAAAAATTAGGGTGAAATGTGAAGATTCTTTCATCAGTTACAGGTATGTTTTCATTAAAAACTTTTAAAATTCAGTACTATATCCTCTATTTTGTTGCCTTGGAATGTGTTATTCTGCTTTATTCTTTTGACAAATATTGAGCATTTATTATATATCAGGAGATTCCTTGGAATACGTCAGAGGACAAAGACAAAACCCCTGGAGCTTATACATTCTTACTCGTATCTTTTGCACCCTTTATACTTCCTGTGATAAGACTTCTACTGACAAATACTATTACTGAATCACACCTTCATGAACAGAGGAATGCTATATATATATTAGTTACTGAAAAATCTAAAATTTAAAGGGTACAGCCCTAACTGGTTTGGCTCAGTGGATAGAGCATTGGCCCTTGTACTGAAGGGTCCCAAGTTCAATTCCAGTCAAGGGCACATACTTTGGTTGCAGGCTCAATCGCCAGCGGGGGGTGTGCAGGAGGCGGCCAATCAATGATTCTCTCATTGATGTTTCTATCTCTCTCTCCCTCT